GGGTGAGGATTAACAAAAAATAAAAAGAAGTAGAGTAGCTGGTGGGGGCCCACACCTTTCTGACTTCCTGGTTCTTCTGTGCAAGCAAGCTACAATAATAATAATATTGGCAGTAACAATAGGTAAAGTTTATTGAGTACTTACTATATTTTAGGCACTATTCTAAGTTCTCATTAGTTCATTGAATCCACACAACAGCCCAGTGAGAGGGGAACTGTGATTAGCCGCGTTTTACAGCTGTGAGAACTGAGACAGAGAAGTTTAAAGACTTGCCCAAGATCTCTTAGGTTTTGTTTTTCAATCAATGTTAGAGTCAGGACTTGAACCCAAGCAACCTGGCTCCAAAGCTGCCTCTAACCTTCTGACTTCATGAAGTTCAAAGGGGTTTTGGGAGTGACTGGAGTGACTGAGCTAGGCAGGGGAATTAGGATGGTGCTGTAGGTGGGGAGTGGCTGAGATCAGCCAGGGCCACTGTGAGGGTCCTCCAGGCTGGGGTGGTTTTCCCTGTTCCATCCCAGAGCTCTCTCCCTGACTCTGCTGTCCTTCTAGGTGCCAAACCAGTGTGTGGAGGCTCCAGTATACCCCACCCCCCCAGTGTACAGCCCCGGCAAACAGGGATTCAAACCAAAAGGACCCAACCCCACTGCCCCCATGACCAGCACCACTGGGGGCACCGTGGCCACCTTTGACTCCCCACCAACGCTGAAGACCCGACGGGCCAAAGGTGCCAGTGGACTCCCAGAAGGTGGGCTCACAGCCTGAGCATCTTTCCTCATTATTGGCCTGCTTCATTCTAGTCTTCCCTTTTATGATGATTAGGATTAAGTTTGTTTGCATGTAATGAAAAACCCAAAATAAGAGTGACTTCAAAATGATAGAATTTTTTTCTCCTGTGCAAAACAAGGCCAGAGGTAGGCAATCAGGAGATCGTGTGCCTGTATGGCCACCAGGAACCCACGTATCCTCTATCTCTCTGCCCTGCCATCCCTGGTGTGTGGCTTCTGCTATCAGGGTGCCTCATTGGGTAAGATGGTTACTAGAGCTCCAGTCATTAATTTCATATTCTAGGCAATAAGAAGGAAAAAAGGGGCATCTGCCAGCTTCTAGCAGTTCTCCATGATGCTTTTGCTTACATCTCATTGGTCAGAACTTAGTCACATGAGCATATCTAGCAGCAAAGGAAGCTGGGAAATGTTCCCCTTAGGTAGAGCACCTGTGAGGAAAGAAGAGGGGGAGAATGGATATTAGGCAGGCAAGAAACAATGTCTGCCACTGGTATGGGTTGGAAGCAGAGTCAGAAAATGCTGGCGGGTGAGAAGGGCAGAGAAATTGAGAAATTTTCAGGGCCTTCCAGTCACCTACTTCCACACTGCCTTTCTTTCACAAATATCTGTTGAGTTTGGTGTCAGGCACTGGGGATCTAGCATCTTGTTCCAGGATTCCCCTATCCTCAGTTATCATAGTTTAATGGAAAAGACAGGGAATAAATAAGTACTTATGGGTTACTCTAGGAAGGAGATACATGGGGTACTGTGATTGAGAATAATGCTACTTATCCATCTGGGAATGAGAAGGAAACAGCCTTGTGGCTATCTGAAGGACAAAGATGACAGATAAGGGGAATAGCAGGTTCAAAGGTCCTGAGGTGGGATCATGTTTGAGGTCTTTCAAGGTTAGCAGGGAGTCTGCTGTAGCTAGATGGAGAGAATAATGAGGTTGGCAGGAAGCAGAGAATGCAGAGCCCTGTAGGCCACAGCAGAGAGGTCGGATTTTATCCTAAGGCAGAGGGGAGCCTCTGAGGGGTTTGTCCAGCTCACCCAGGCAGAGCAGGACCTACCCTTTCCTCCCCCAGCACCTGGAGACACTCACCTGTGCCTCTTCCCCTGCCTGTCCTTGAGTAGATCTCCCAGGGTCTGGGATTTCTGGCCCTATGCCCCGGGAGTAGAGTGGCTGGAGGCTGCCCTTGGCACCCACAGTTTTACCCCAGCCTCACCATCTCACTCCTCCCACTTTGTCTTTCAGCTGCAGGGAAGCCAAAGGCTCAGAAACTCAAGTGCTCATACTGTGACAAGTCATTCACCAAAAACTTCGACCTGCAGCAGCACATCCGAAGGTACCCAGGCATGGTGGGGCAGGTGGCTCCCAGGCTGCCCTGGCTGGGGAGCCATCTGCAGTGGAAGCAAGGGTCCCTTCCCAGCCTCCTAACCTGGGTGGTGTCCAAGGCCCCATCTGTCCTGTCATGGTTCTCTGAACTTCAGTCCAGGTTGGGATGATTTTCCCTCTTCTCTTCCAGGAGTAATGGGAGGGTCTGTGAAAGCTGCGGGGCCTACCCACTATGATGGGGAAGGTCCAAATGGGGTAAGGTAGGGGGAGAAGTGGACCTGAACTGATAGGGGCTTTGCAGGCATGAGGAGTGGTACCCAGTCCTTACCTCTGCAGAAAGGGCTGGCCTCAAGGATTGCCATGCTCTGCGTATATGACTCTGACTGCTCACTCAGGACTAACCATAATACCTCTTGTTCCAAGTACATACAGGGAACCCCTCTGGTCCTCAGGTCTTTGTTCTGTGAAGTAGAGGGGTGGACTTGTTCAGTGTTTCTCAGAATGGGGTAATTGGTACATGAGGTGATTTTAGGTGGTTCTTGGACATGGTTTCGAAAAGTTCTGAAAGACAGTGAAAAAATTATTCTCTTCAATTTCTTTCAGTTCTTGGAGAGTCAAAGGAGAAAGCCTCAATTTGATGCTAGTCTCTCCTAATACCTCTCACATGCTAGCTCATGTTTTATGAGGAAGATAAAGAGAGAGAGAGAGAGAGAGGAAATGAATGAGCGCACACGTCACAGATTCCAAACATGGCAGGCAGAATCTTCCCTTTAGTACAGGGTTTCTCTGCCTTGGCACTATTGACATTTTCTATCACATCATTCTTTTCTGTGGAGGTCTGACCTTGCCTGGTAGAATGTTTGGCAGCATTCCTAACCTATAACTATTAAATGCCAGTAGCATTCCTCACTTGTCCACTGTGACAAACAAAAGTGTCTCCAAATATTGCCAAATGTTCCCTGGAGGGCAAACTCAATCCCATTTGAGAATCACTGGTCTACCCTGGTGCTGTCCAGTAGAACTTTCTCATGGAGATGCCCAGAACGGTGCTGTCTAATAGGGTACCACTAACCATAAATGGCTGCTGAGCACTTGAAATGTGACTAGTATGATTAAGAAATTGACATTTTTATTTTAATGAATTTAAATTTAAATAGTCCATGTGGTTTATGTCTACCTTATTGGGCAATGCAGCTCTAGATCGTTTTATAATTATTGCATTTTGGTTACTTCGTATTTATGACAAGTGGTTTTTTGTATATAATAACAAGTGGAAGCTTCATTTTAAAATATTTTGAGTTTTAAAACATAGAATTGACCCTGGCCGGTATGGCTCAGTTGTTTGAGCATTGTCTTGTGCACCAAAAAATTTGCCAGTTCAATTCCTGGTCAGGGCATGCCCAGGTTGCAGGTTCAAACCTTGGACGGGTGCATACAGGAGGCAACTGATCGATATTTCTCACATCAATGTTTCTCTCTCTCTCTCTTCCCCTTTCTCTAAAATCAGTAAAAACATATTTTAAAAAAACATGTAGAATTTATTTGAAAGAAAATAGTAAATAATGATGCAAGTGCTGTGCTGTGATAGCTAGCATATTTCCTCCTTCAAATAACAGAAATCCCTATTTATTTTTATTTACTTATTTATTTTAAATATATTTTATTGATTTTTTTACAGAGAGGAAGGGAGAGGGATAGAGAGTTAGAAACATCGATGAGAGAGAAACATCAATCAGCTGCCTCCTGCACACTCCCTACTGGGTATGTGCCTGCAACCAAGGTACATGCCCTTGACCAGAACCGAACCTGGGACCCTTGAGTCCGCAGGCTGACGCTCTATCCATTGAGCCAAACCGGTTAGGGCCAGAAATCCCTATTTAAATGGACTTAAATTGTTAGGAAATGTTTCATCTCACAGTATAAGATGGTCATGGAGAAAGTTACCTCCAGGGTGGTTCATTCAGCAGCTCAGTAATGCCACCAAGAGCACAGGGTCTTTCTGTCTCTGGTCTGCCTGCCTCCGCAAGCGGGCTTGTCCTTATGGTGTCAGAATGGTTGCCAGCAACATCTAGACGTTCTGTCTGGGCTTCCTGGTGGCCATGAGCTCCTGGGTTGAGGTCACATCTCCATTCCTACAAGGGTGCTGACAAGCCTTGTTTCCTGCAGCCACACTGGTGAGAAACCCTTCCAGTGCATTGCGTGTGGCCGTGCCTTTGCCCAGAAGTCTAATGTCAAGAAGCACATGCAGACTCACAAGGTGTGGCCTCCAGGGCGCAGTGGTGGCACCATCTCTCGCAACTCTGTGACTGTGCAGGTCATGGCCCTGAACCCCAGCAGGCAGGAGGATGAGGAAAGCACAGGTGGGTTGAAAGGGGGAACGCCACTCTCCCTACACCTCTCCTCTGTAGCTTCATGGGTTTTGTTTCTGTATGGCTTTGGGCAACCTCCTTGACCTCTTTGGGCTTCAATCTACTTCAGTGATAAAGTGGGGCATAGATGAAAGGAGGGATGACAAATATACGATTTGTGTGGTGTTACTCTAATGCTGTAGCCATGGCAACCATCACTAATCGATCACCTATCATTTTTGCTGAGTTTGGATACCACCTCAGAATCTATTTTCAATAGATGGCCCTCTAGGCAGTCACTCTCAGTTTATCTGAAATTGAAATCTATTTGGCCTCTATGGGCAGGTGATCTTCGAAGTTCTTTATAGTTTGTAAAATTGTCATCAAAGCCATCACTTGTTTCTGAACTAACAACCTTTTCCTTAATATTGGTTTAATTAGAGTAACACTGTCCAGGAAAAATATAATATGAGCAACATATGCCATTTAAAAATTTCTAATAGCTACATAAAAACAATATAAAAAGCCCATCTCCCTGGGCGCTTTGCCATGGCTGCCTTCAGTGGTGCCAGCAAGGGCCTCCGCCATGCCGAGTACTCACTGCCCTCGACCAAATGGCCTGACGCGGACGTCCACCAGGGCCCGTCAAGAAGCTTGATAGCTGTAGGACTGGGTGTTGCAGCTTTTGCGTTTGCAGGTCGCTATGTATTTCAGATCTGGAAACCTCTGGAACAAATAATCACAGAAACTGCAAAGAAGATTTCAACTCCTAGCCTTTCATCCTACTGTAAAGGAGGATTTGAACAGAAAATGAGTAGACGAGAAGCTAGTCTTATTTTGGGTGTAAACCCATCTGCTGGCAAGGCCAGGATTAGAACAGCTCACAGGAGAATCATGATTTTGAATCACCCAGATAAAGGTGGATCTCCGTACTTAGCAACCAAAATAAATGAAGCAAAGGACTTGCTGGAAGAAACCACCAAACATTGATTGATGCTCAAGAACTATTCTGAAGGAAAAAAAGGGGTGCTTACAAAACAAAGTCCCGTGTATTTAATATAAACCACCACTGACCATCATAATTCCCATACATGTACATGTGCTAACTCTAAATAACTTATTCCACTGTTATGTGGTATAATAATAAAGATTAATAATCTCTCTTTTAAAAAAACATAAAAAGAAGGTGACATTAATGTTAATCATGTTTTATCCTAATATATTAATATTGTCATTTTAGCATGTAATATAAAGAAATTATTAATGAGATATTTTATATTCTTTTTTTATGCTAAGTTTCCAAAATCCATTTGCATTTATTGGCACATCTGGATTTGGACGAGCCAAATTTTGAGTTCTCAGTTGCCACATGTGGCCCTTTGCCACTGTACTGGACAATGTAAGGCTGGGGCTTTCCTGTGCAGCCCCATAGGTGAGCAACACCTGCCACATGCCAGCCAACGAAGGGGTGTGTTGCTGTGCAAAAAACACATGGCCACTTTATAGCATCTCCCTGTTGGATCCAGCCCTGCTGTGTATTTAGCCATTCTATGTGTGCACTTTGAGTCTTTGTAAGTTCCTTGGAGAAGAAACCATTTTTTCTATTTCTTTTAAACTCCTAAATTGCCTAGCACCAAGGGTTCAGTCATTTAGCAAACATTTATGGAGGCCTACTCTGTGCCAGGCCCCTGTCCTCAGAGAATGTGAGGGAAGGGCAACCAAACAAATGAGTGTAATTAGAACAAGGAGCTGGGAAGGCATGATGAGTACAGCTAGGAGCTGTGTTCAGGATTTTTAACAGCCATGGAGAGAGGTCTTGAGTGTCCGAGGGGGAGGTCAGGGACCGGAGACTTGAGGCAATAGCTATTCATCAATTGGAATGTAAGTATTTCAGTATTTTAGCACCAGGAAGTGTGGTATCAGTGCACACCAACTGTATGTGAGTGCAGGGCCTTGAGAACAGTGTCCAACACCAAGCATGTGGTGGGTGTGGGTGTACGCAGTGGAGCGCAGAGGAGATGTTCCATGATCCTTCCTGAGTGGTCTCTCTGTCCTGTGCTTCCTCTGCCCTTCTCAGCAATTTGTCTTCCTGGCTTTCTCCATAGGGTTGGGCCAGACACTGTCGAGTGCACCACAGCCCCAGGCCTTGCCCACAGCAGGTGAGGATGAAGGGGAGAAGCTGGAGGGCAAGCAGGTGGTCCTCATCGATAGCTCCTACCTGTGTCAGTTCTGCCCCAGCAAGTTCAGCACTTACTTCCAACTCAAGTCCCACATGACCCAGCATAAGAATGAGCAGGTAGGTGGCGAGTGGGCAGCAGGGGAGTGGGGGGTACTTCCATCCTAGTCATGAGCCTTGGCTGATGCTGGGGTCTTGAACATGGCCTAGAAAGGGGACGGGGGTGGGCCTCATTTAGTCTGAGCTACTGTCTAACCATTCAGGATGAGGCCAAACTATCCTCTGTATTCTGCCTTGGTGGGGCCAGCTTACTGGGCCATTATGGTGCTGAGGGAGGAAGCCCACCTCTCAAGGGTCATATAATGAAGGAATCAGAGACGGGAAACATTCTTAATACCCTGAAAAAATCAAATGTCTGTGGGGATTTAGGACTACAGTCTTTTTTCCCTTTTAATTGAGATATAATTCACATACCATAAAATTCACCCTATTAAAAGTGTACAGTTCAGTGGTTTTTAATATATTCATAGGTTGTACAGCTATCAACACTAATTCCAGAATATTTTCATCACCTCAAACAGAAACCCTGTACCCATTAGCAATCACCCTCTGCCCCCAGTCCCTGGTAATCACTCATCTCGTTTCTGTCTCTATGGATTTGCCTGTACTGGACATTTAGTATAAATGGAATCATAGTATGTGGCCTTTTGAGATACTGTTTTTAAGGCTTATCCATGTTGTAGCATGTACCAGTACTTTATTTCTCTTGATGGTAGAATAAATATACCAGACTGGTCGTTATGGCGTTCCATTCACTGGCTTTTTATAGATAGAGATATGTTTTCAGTTCGCTTGGGTATAAGCCTAGAAGTGAAATTGCTGGGTTACTTGATAATTCTATTCTAGCTTTTATTTTTTTTTTCATATGTTTTTTTTATTTCAGAGAAAGGAAGGGAGAGGGAGAGAGAGTCATTGATCGGTTGCCTCCTACATGCCCCCTCCTGGGGATCAAGCCTGCAACCTGGACATGTGCCTTGACCTGGGATCAAACTGTGTCCTCGGGGTTCATAAGTCAACTACTGAGCCATGTTGCTGGGCAGTACAGAACTATTTTATCCTACAGAGCTCTCCCTTGTGTTGCCCAACATACTTAGCCTCCGGAAGTCACTGATCAGTTCTCTATCTCTCTATAAGTTTGTCAGTTTGAGAATGTTGTATAAATAGAGTCATCCAGTATGTGACCTTTTGAGATTGGCTTTTTAAAAAATATATATTTTATTGATTTTTTACAGAGAGAAAGGGAGAGAGATAGAGAGTTAGAAACATTGGTGAGAGAAACATCGATCAGCTGCCTCCTGCACATCTCCTATTGGAGATGTGCCCACAACCCAGGTACATGCCCTTGACCAGAATCAAACCTGGGACCTTTCAGTGAGCAGACCGACGCTCTATCCACTGAGCCAAACCGGTTTCGGCTGAGATTGGCTTTTTTTGACTTAGCATAAATTCTCTTGAGAATTGTGCTATTTTTTTTAACCTAATTTTACATTTGAGTATTTTCTCATGTCACTATTATTTTTTTGAAGGACAATTTTTATTACTTTTATGTACAGAAAACCCAACAGTGTACACATAGCCAGTTTGGTGGCCAGTGTTTATAGCCTTTGCCATTTCCAGCTTGGCAATGGTAGCCTCTGACTTGGACCCAGGACGTTGCCTCCCCAAGTGATGGGTCTCAGCATATCTGTTGTTGTAATTAGAACAGATAGCCCCCACCAGCTTAGCCAGAGCTCCTTTTTCTTCCAAGTTAACCTGCGTGAAGGCAACAGTGGTGCAGGTCTTCCTGTGGACGAGACATCCAGCCTGGCCTTCCCCTTGCTCATGCAGTAGGGAACCCCATCTGCCAGCACAGGCAGGGCAGGAAGACCACCAGCTGGATGGGATCCACATTATGTGTAGTCACTACCAGCCGAGTCGTCTTGTTCTCTCACTGCAGGGTGGTGACAGTGTTAACCCCTGCTCAAAGGACAGGTGGCCTCTTGGTGGGGACATCCCCTTTGCTGGCAGCTTTTTTCTCAGCCTGAGCCACCAACCTCTGCTTCTTCTCTTGCTTTGTCTCTGGTCTGTACTTGTGGGCCGGCTTCAGCAGTTGAGTAGCTGTTTGGTGATCCAAGACCTGAGTGAACTGGTTAATGGCACGTTCAGACACGTATAGAGAATAGCCCTTTGTTGCTGTAGCTGAATGTAGCGGGGCCATTTGACAAAGCAGGTGAGGTCCCTTTTGGGTTTGATGTCCTGTCCAAGGCCAGAATGCCTGGGCCTTTTCTCAAACAGGCGATTTACCTTCTTGGCCTCCTGCTTCTTCATGAGAGCAGGGGCGGAGCCACCTTCTTCCCTTTGGCATTCTTCCCCTTGGCCTTCTTTTCTTTCTGCACTTTGGGCTACAGGAAAAGAGAGAAAGAAAAGGAAATTGTGGAAAATACGTAGCTCACATCACTACTTTTAAACACATGAATTTAATGGCTACATTTTTTAAATTCTATAGTTAAACTATTACTTCCAGAGTTTTGCTATTATAAACAAAACCATGGTGGGATCATTGTAATCAAATATTTGTTCACATCTCTGACTTTTTTCTCTTATGATAGATTCCTAGCAGGGGTGGGGGTTGATGGAAGTTAGTTAGGGTATCTTTGGTGACAAATCACAAAAACCTTTGATTCAAACTGGCTTAAACAATTAGGAAGTTTGTCATCTCATTTAACAAGAAAACCCAAAGTACAGCAGTTCCAGGCCTGAAACAGCCAGTTGACTGAATCCAGCTCATCTCCACCATCTCTGCCATGTGGCCTTGTTCTCTACTGATGGCTCCCCTGTGGTCCTGGGATAGTGGTCATTCTTTCTAGGTCCAGTTACAGTCTTACCTATGAGCAAAAAGGGGCTCTCTTTTTCTGTGTCCTTTAAAAAAATGTTTTTATTGATTTCAGAGAAAGGAACAGAGAGGGCAAGAGAGAAACATCAGTGATGAGAAAGAATCAGTGATTGGGTGCCTTCTGTACACCCTCCGCTGGGAATCAAGCCCGCAACCCAGGCATGTGCCCTGACTGGGAATCGAATTTTGACCTCCTGGTTCATAGGTCAACGCTCCACCGCTGAGCCCCGCCTGCCAGGCTTTTCTGTGCTTTTTTAGAAGCAAGGAAACCTTTCCTTGAAGATCTCTTGTTGGTCAGCGTAAGTGCATGTGCTCTGTCACTTAGGAATGCATTATTCTGCTGCAAATAATAGAAAACTGGCTTACTACTCAGGGTTTTATTTCTCTCACATCAGAAGAAGTCCTTAAGTAGGCAGTGTTGGGCTTGTATAGCAGATCAGATATGTCATCATGGACGCAGGCTTTTTCTGGCTTTCTGTTCTGCTATCCTTCTGCTTTCATTCTCAAGATTGTAGGATGGCTGCTGTGATATATCTTCAGCCATCACATTTGTATTCCAGTCAGGACAAATGCAAAAGGCAGAGGGGATTTTCCTAGGAAGCTTTTTTGCCTTTTTGTTCTGGAAATTATGCCTTCCCTACAGACTGCTACATATCATTGGTAAGAAAGGAGTCATATGGCTGACACTAGATGCAAGGGAGACAGGGATATGGAATCAAATGGTTTTTGTTTTTTAAGAGGAGGAAGGGGGCCCTACCTGGTTTGGCTCGGTGGATAGAGTGTTGGCCTGGGGATTGAAGGGTCCCAGGTTTGATTCCGGTCAAGGACACATGCCCCGATCCCCAGTGGGGGGTGTGCAGGAAGCAGCTGATCAATGATTCTCTCATTATTGATGTTTCTCTCTCTCTCTCCCTCTCTGAAATCAATAAAAATATATTTAAAAAAGAGACAGGAAGGGGGAGAGAGAGAGAAACATCGATTGGTTGCCTCCCACATGTGTTCTGACCTGGGATTGAATCCACAACCTGGATATGTGCCCTGACTGGGA